TAGTAAGTCTCATTTATCCAATCTTCAGGTAAGTTAGTAATATTAATAATCTGAAGACTTGGTTATTGATTGTTCTTCACAAAGGAATAACTGAGACTTGAATCAGAAATGAAGCAGGGTTTCAGCCATTTGGATGTTTGGATGGAGCACATTTGAAAGGATCACGATGCAGTTAGGATGCATTTATTTATCTTACCTGGGGGTTGGCAAATTACAGCCAGTGAGCCAAATCTGGCCACACGTACCATATATGTCTGTGACTGCTTTCTCTACAGCTGCAAGTTGAGTAGAGACAAACTATATGGCCTACCAAGCTGAAAATATTTCCTATGTGTCTGTTAACAGAAAAAATACACAAACCCCTGCTCTAGAGATTATTTTAATCCTATCCTGCCTCAGGACGTTTAAATATTTCACTACACCTTAATGTTTCTAGCCAACCAAAGGGACTCTCAGCTGGCAATTTCAAGAAACGTCAAAACAAACATCAGAGCTAGGAAGCTCCCATTTCCCTGATACTCTTTTTCTGCCTCAGAAAAGCAGGCCCTTCCCAGCCTCAAATCCAACAGTCTCTGAGTGGGTCAGGATGCCTAGGAAGACAAAGAATGTAGAAACGGGGAGAGGACCCCAAAGAAAGGAACATCAGGAGACAGGGTGCGTTTTCTCAGGGTGCAGGGGATTATATTTCCCCTAAACTCTTTTTCCACTTGATGGAAGCATGTTCCCTTAAGCTGGGAAGTGCTTAAGCCTGAAATGATAGACCAATGAAAATGCAAAACAAACTGGGCATGAGGTGGGAGGGAGAATTGGGGATGTGGCTCCAATATCCATACCCACCCATGGGATTTGACCGTAATCCTTTCAGAGGTGACTGGAGATCAGAAAAGAAGTGAGAGCCAATGTGAACATCGGTCACATTTATCAAGCAGGTGATAGGAAGAGAAGTCCAGGCTAAGGAATAGCAGTGGGTAATGAAAGGGGTGCATCAGAGGCTGGGGGACAGCTGAGCTGGGTTGAGAGCAAGTGGGCAAGCTTGGTTCTGAGCCTTCCATGCTCTGCCTCTTAAAAAAAAAAAAAAGACAAGATTGGAACTAGAAAAGGAAACTGACTTGGATATTGACTGGGTTTAGTGTGGTAATCTTTTTGCAATTTATACAAATATTGAACCATTATGTTTGTACACCAGAAACTAATATAATGTTATATGTCAATTATACCTCAATTTAAAAAAATAAGAAAAGAAAAGAGAGCTGACTAGAAGAAACACACAGACAGATGGCCCAAGGGCACTGTTCATCATGCATTTATAGTGGTACCAGTTCATATGGTGATGGCGCTCACCCAGAGGCAGAGCATGGAAGGCTGATGGGTTAATCTAATGGGTTTTGTCCCATGGTCAGGTGCTGGAAAGGGAACACACAAAGGCATTCCCTAGGGAGATGCTTAAATGGATACATAGGATCTTGGTAGGATAGGGGAGAAAATAAAATCCAGTGATTTTAGTTTATCAGATACCTGAGAGAAAAGGGTGGGAGGGTAAGGGACTATCAGTCATAAGGAAATAGAAAAGCAAGTAAATCAGGTTTTGGCAAAGAGATGGAAGAACAGAATCTAGTGATCAAAGATCAATGTATTGGAGTTAAAACTTGGGAGGTAGAAGAGTTCTGAGTCCCAGCAAAATTCCTCCACAGAGTATTTGCACTTTTTTTTTTTTTTGCTCTTTTCTCTTTCTTTTTTTTCCCATTTTCCCTTCACTTCACTCAGAACCAAGCTTTTTTTCTTTACCCCTTTCTGAAACTCTTCAAGAGCTTTAAATGCAGGTGTGACGTGATTTGATATGTTCAGAGCAGCAAAAGATATTAAAATAAGGCTCATAGCAGCATTGATTGTCATACTACAACACTAGGAAATAATTAAATATTCATCAATAGTGGCATGGATAATACTGCATTTATTTAAAGTCTAAAAACATGGGTGCCTGGGTGGCTCAGTCAGTTAAGCGTCTGCCTTTGGCTCAGGTCATGATCTCAGGGTCCTGGGATCGAGCCCCGCATCGGGCTCCCTGCTCAGCGGGGAGTCTGCCTCTCCCTCTACCCTTCTCCTCTGCTTGTGATCTCTCTCTCTCTCTCTCTCCCCCTCAGATAGATAAAATATTTTTTTAAAAAAGTATAAAAACAGGGGCGCCTGGGTGGCTCAATTGGTTAAGTGTCCACCTCTTGATTTCCACTCAGGTCATGATCTCAGCATTGTTGGATGGAGCCCCCTGTCATGCTCCATGCTCAGCAGGGAGCCTGCTTGAAATGCTCTCTCTCCTTCTCCCTCTGCCCCTTCCCCTGCTCTCTTTCTCTCTCCTCTAAAATAAATAGATAAATCTTTAGAAAATAAAGTCTAAATATAGCCAAAGTTAAACTGCATTGCTTAGAGATGTAGACGAGGGTGGTTAAGCTTGGAAACAAGGAAATGATTGTCAGAAAAGTGAGGATTTTGGCGACCTCTGGGAGAATGGAGGTTGCCTTCATCAGGGAGGACCCTTGGAGAATGTGGGGGCTGGCAATGTGGTTTTATGGGTATCTCCTTCATAATCATTCTTCAAACTGTGCATATATGGTTTTGCACTTTTCTGTATCATATATCCCAACTAAAGAGAAAATATGCATGGAAAAATACGTACCATGTTTAGGAGAGGGGGGAATGAGATTAGGGAGGTGTGTGCAGATACAGTTGTGTTTGTAATTTTGTGTTTCATGAGCTGGGAGCTAAGTACATGGGTTTTCAATTATTATTGTCCATAATTGTTTATATGTCTAAAATATTTAAATCGAAATTAAAACTAAGAAGGCAATATGGAAAAGAAGATGGATGCTTTTGTTTCTGTTTTCATTTCCTTTATGGTTGTTAAATTATTTATTCAATAAATTTGAATCAGGAGAGAAAACACAATAGCTAAATCAGTACTTTAGAGATTTGCCGGCATTCAGAAGTTCTTTTCTTTAGGGAGACACGGAGAATAGAATCCAGTTACTAATCTCAGGGCTTGATCTCAGGCCTGTTTGTTTGGTTTACTCTTGCAGAAGTGATCCTAGGGTATACAACTGCCTGCGTCCTGTGAGCAGCTCCCACCTCTGCATGAGTATCTGCTACTCACCCCATCCCTCTCTCAAAGTCTCACTGACCTTTCCCTGCAGCCCTCATGTGAACTGGCCCGGAAGTCATTCCACTGTTGGGTGGAGATGGCTGCTGCTTTCCTAGAAAGCCTGCTCCAACCCCTTCCTACTCATTCGGCAAGTCCTCATTCCAGGCTGCTGATCTTGGATCCCCCCCCACCCGCTACACTGTGTAAACAAATAACTGGGAAACTACACTCCTGAAGGAAGTCCTCAGCAGGGCTGGAAAATGAAAACTCCAACACATTCAGAATGCAATGTAAGACTGGTTGCACATGGATTTCCCTACCTCCTGAGCCTCTGGGGCTCCCTTCTCATTTTCTTTATACAGCCTTTCTTTAAGGAGTTGGAATAACTGTCTCCCTGAGAGCCCTTAGTCCCGTGGTTTTCTCACGTGGCTCCCTAGGGGAGGAGAGGGCATCTGGCCGAGTGGATAAATGGAAGGAAGCTGGTCCAGGTAACTCCTTGTTCAGTTACTTAGTGAACCAACCCAGGATCCGCTCAGACTTCTTGTCATGTACAATAATAAAGTTCTCTTTTATTATTTAAGCCAATTTTGGTTGCAGTTTTTATTACAGCTGAAACATCCTACTTACTGTAGGATAGAAAGAGGAAATTTTGTTATATATATTGTTGAGAAAGTCGGGAGCAGTTAGTGATAAATAAGAGGAAGCCTCCAGGGGCCCCGTCTGGGGCAGTGCTACTCAAAGTGTGGTTCATGGACCTGCAGCATCAGAATTACCTAGCAGCTTGTAAGGAATGCCCGGGTAAGGGCTTCACTCCAGACGGACCAAATCAGATTCCCTGGAGGTAGGACTGGGAATCAGTATTTTAACAAGGTCCCCCTCAGTGATTTGGATGCAACTAAGGTGGGAGAAAACACTGACCTAGAAGCCTTCTGCAGCTGGGAGTGTGACTGGTCCAACAGAGGAAGTGCTCTGTCTCTAGCTCACGGCCGACCTCTCTGAAGCTGTTCCGATCTTCTAGATCTCAATTTCCCTTTCTGTCACAAGAGTATGAGGATCAGATGAGGAACTGGGTGTAAAAATGGTTTGAAAGAGCTCAAGCCTTGATCCCTGGCAGAGTCCTTGAGCTGGCCCACCCCTACGGGGGGCCACAGCACCTGAGGCTGCAGACAGTATGTCAGCTGCTTTGGGGAGGGCCTGTCTCCGTCTGCGAAGGAACTGGCAGGTAGAGGATGGAGAGTCACTGCCATTCCTAACTGAACTCGGTTGCTCCAATTTTGCGTTTTCTTTTTTCAGATACCTGCTTGCCCTTGTGGCTTGAGGAGGGTTGGCCCCTGTCGCAGTGCTGCCCCTCCTCCCTTACAACCTCAGCGACCTCAGCCGTCCTCCCGCCACATCCTCCACATCCTCAGCCCTCCTCCCGCACCTCTACTGAGGTGACCTGGTTCCCCGCCCCCCCCCCGGCTTTCCCTGGCCTTCGACGCCCGAGGAGGCACGGGACCCACTGCCCTGCAGACAGACGAACGACTAGGTTGTGAGCCCTGCCTCCTCTCGAGTTCGGAGGCGTCGACCCCGATGCGGGAACCACCCTCCGAGCCAACGAGGAGCGCCCGCGTAGGGACGGCAGCCTCGCGAACCAGCCCTGCGCGCGGAACGAGAGAGAGCGGGTGGAGAGGGCGCGGCCGCCTGCCTGACGACCAATCAGAGCAGGGCAAGCAAGCTGGCCCGGCTCCCAGTGGCCACTCAGGCGCAGGCCGAACGCGCTGCCTGCTCTTGGACTGGACAAGCTTCCTGCCAATCAGAGGCGGAGCAAGAGGAGCCTCGGCCAATAGCGGGAGGCGGCCCGGTCAGGCCGGTGGCCCTGCGGCGCGCGCGGTGGTCCGCAAGCCAGTTGGCGCGGAGGGAGTGGCCGCCCTCCCGCCCTCGCGCGCTGCGCTCTCGGTCCCCCGGGCCCGCCCGTCGGCCGCGCCGCGTCATGTCAGGCGCTGCTCGGCGGTAGTGCCCGGGCCGCCGTCGCCCGCCCGCCCGAAGCCGCGCCCACTGTCCAGAGCCAGAGGGATGGTGGTAGTCACGGGGCGGGAGCCAGACAGCCGTCGTCCAGACGGTGCCATGTCCAGCTCCGACGCTGAAGACGACTTTCTGGAGCCGGCCACCCCGACGGCTACGCAGGCGGGGCACGCGCTGCCCCTGCTGCCCCAGGAGGTACCTGGGGGGTGGGGCGTGGGAAGGGGCGCAGAGGGAGAAGCAGGTGCCCAGCAGAGCTGACCCTGCGGTGCGAGCCGTGCCGAGGCTGGGGTCAGAGGTGGGATCGAGGGCGGCGCCAGAGGAGCTGTGCTCCGAGGGCCCACCCACCTCCAGTAAAACGCACCTGGTGTGTCTTCCCTGCCCCAGGGCACACCTGCCCCCCCCCCCCGCCCCGCCTTCCTCCAATCCCCGCTTCCAGTATTCACTGACTGCAAGGCTGGTTTAGGCCCACCCCTCTGTCGCATCCTTACCAACTAGAGGAGGGAGGGTAGGCTGTGGGAAGGGGACCTCGGAGCCCCAAGAGTAGAGTGTCTTCTAGGAGATCAAAGAGGAGGCCTTCGTGGTTGCCCAGTCCTAATCTCCAGCTGCCCAGAAGGTGGAGTAAGGGACTCCGTGCAGATAAGAAGCAGGCCAATGAACAGATGTGTCCACATTCACCCGACAGCTCCATGGCTTTCCTCCGCTAGCGACTGTGCTGGGTGCTCCTACTGGTCTTACTGTGTATGACAGTATCATATTTAGAGCTGAAATGACCCTCAAGAGAAAGAGAAAAGAGGAGGAAGGTGGGGCACCGCCAGGCACTTAAGAAGGAGACTAGGAGGTAGGAGCTAAGGTAGTGCTGGGTAAGGGAGCCTGTTGTGATGTGTGGAGTACTAGAAAAACGGACAGCTCCAGAGGGGCAGGGCTGGGCTGGGGGTGGCTGGTCCTCTTGGGATTAGAAGCCTAAACTCTAAACATCATGAAACACTTGTGATAATGAGCAAAACCCTGGAAGTACTCTTTGCAGTTGGGAAAAAAAAAAAAAAAGCCATCAGGAACACTGGTGCTTATCTTTTGTGCACTGTCATCGGGAAAACAATGTGGTTTGAGAGAAAGAGCACAGAACTGTAGGCCAGCTCCCCCACAGATACATTGTTCCATGTGAGATCTAAAACTGGTTTTGATTGCTTTTTCCTCTGTGCCTCAGTCTTTTCAGCTCTACTAGAGCAAACACTGGGATTGGTATGAGATGTCCTTGGAAAAGGTGTAAAGAGCTCCAGAAATGTAAAGTATTATTATCCCAAAACAATATTTGAGTCCTTGGTATGCACGTACAATGGTTTTAGAGGAGCTGTGGAGTAAGTAGAAGGCATTTGCTGTCCTTTGGTTGCAGAAGAGTAAAAGTGCATACATACACAAGAACCGTGCATTTTTTTCATTCATTCACTCATTCATTCAGTGCATATTTGGGTCTTTACTGCAAGCCAGGCACTGCATTAGGCTCCAGCTAACTTTGATTTAATGTATTTGTATCCTACTTTATTGCACAAAGAATTTGAAAACATTATTTTACTTATATGTGGAATCTAAAAAACAAACAAAAAAACAAAGCATAAATAGACTCATAAATACAGAGAACTAACCAGTGTTCTGGTTAGTTAGAAGCTGGTTAGCACAGCTCCTCTGTTAGATATAACTAACCCCTCTGGTAAAGAGGGGAGGGAGGGTGGAGGGATGGGCAAAATGGGCAAAGGGGAGTGGGAGGTAGTGACTTCCAGTTAGGGAATCAATAAGTCACTGGGATGAAAGGTACAACATAAGGAATATAGTCAATGATATTGTAATAGCAATATATGGTGGCAGGTGGTAGCTTCACTTGTGGTGAGCAGACAATAAGGTATAGACCTGTCAAATCACTGTGTCATACACCCAGAACTAATATAACATTAGGTGTCAACTATACCTCAAAAAAAAAAGTGGAAAAAAAATAGAACTGGAAAGCTGGGGGAAAGGACTATCTAGCTAAATATACACTGGAGCCTGAGAGATGTTGTAATATTAAAAAGTGTGCACTAGTATAAAATTTTAGTTAATCTGGAGGTTTGTGGGAAAATTAGAGAGAACCGGCTTCATTTCTTTTAAAGCTACAAGGAGTGAAAGATATCCCTCCCCCTGCGAAAAGGTCCTGAGCATTTTAGGGAGACCTTAGAGCTTCTCTGGGCCAATCTATATTATCAATCCCTGTTCCTCCCCCTGCCCTTGCCTCCAGAACCGGAGTTGGACTAGGGACTGATCTCACTCTACAGATTAAGTAGTAGAGAAGTGGTGAGGTACAGAGAATGTGGAGTGGATGCCTGGAATAATTCCACAAACATCTATGAGCCCCACTGTGGGTGGCCTCGTGACTAGTGAATAAGATGCTGTTCCTGCCCTCAGGAAACTTGGGGTCTAGAAGGGTAGGCTCACAGGAGTAATTAACTGCTAGTGTATCATGCTAGGCATATGAAGAGGAGAGCATGGCACATGGTGAAGGCACAATGGAGGGAATACTTAGTTAAGTCTGTCTTGGGGCAGGTGAGGGACAAAAGGGCAGAAATGCTCACAAAATCAGGAAACTTGAAGAGAAGCTTTTAGAATGAGTGGACGCTGCCAACTTACATGGTGCCTTGGTGTGCACTAGAGAAAGGCACACAGCTGAGCTAGCAGATCTCTCGCAGATGGGTGCCCTTGTGCACACCACATATAGGGCAGTTGCATTTGCTAGATGGACAGAGGGAGAGTGGAAAGAACATTCTGGACAGAGAAGACAGCATAAGCAAGGGCATAAAAGTGGTAATAGAGCAGAGATAGTAGAACTGGGGTGGGGAGGCCTGATTTAATGGCTCTCAGGGGGACAGTGGGGTGGACTTGGCAACTGAGAAGTGTGGGGAGAGGGAGGAGAGAGAGAAGAGCATTCAGAAGGAGCATTCCCAGATTTTAGCCTTGGGTGCCTGAATGGTGCAGCACTGATGAGATCCAAGGAGACTGCAGACAGAGCAGCCCCTGCTCTCATTCCCCAATGCCTGGTTGAAAGTGCCGGTGGTTCCTTTCCAGTTTCCTGAGGTTGTCCCCCTTAACATTGGAGGGGCTCACTTCACCACACGCCTGTCTACCCTGCGGCGCTATGAAGATACCATGCTGGCGGCCATGTTCAGCGGGCGGCATTACATCCCCACAGACGCCGAGGGCCGGTACTTCATTGACCGGGATGGCACCCACTTTGGGTATGTTTCTCCCTCTATGGTCAACTTTGTAGTCCTAGTGAGTGTCCTGGGCCTCGGTATGGGGCTTTGGTGTCTTCTATAATACCTAGAAGAGGTATTATAGTACAAATGTACTGATGGAATTTAATAATTTAATAAATGTGTTTATTGAATGAGATCAAAAGTCATAGTTTTTTTCCCAGAGGAGACAAGGACAGCCAGAGAAATCTCAGGTGACACACACTGGCTGGATGTGGCGAAACTGCTTCTGTCCTGTGAAATTTAAGACCAGGAAGTTGTCATCTGTGTGGAGCAGGTGTGATCCCCCCTGGAGGTGGGAGATTCTAAAGCAACTTTGTGGGGAAAATCCTCAGATTCAAATTCTGGGGCTCCACATTGCCCTTAGGGAGGGACACGGTGTGGGACCGTGGTTCTCAGACTTCCTTCAAGAGTTTAAAACAAACGAACAAAAAAGGTGAGGGAAGGGCCAATATGTGATTGCCATCCTTTAATTTTGCCAAGAAAAGTCTTTAAAAAAAAAAAAACTTCAATTGTGACTGTTATTTTAATACTAAAACATGGAAAGACACAATCTCAAAAAAGAAAATAGCCCTTCCCAAGAAAGGACTTCTGACACCTTACACATAAACAGCTTAAAGACTTTATGTTTTAGTTTCCTTATTTGTGAAATGAGAAATGATGATAGCTGCCTCACAGGCCTGCCATGCCAATTACATAAGGAGCCTTGGTGTGACCCCTGGCCAGGTCCTTCCAGAGCATGTGGCTAAAGCTCTTTGCCCCTTCAGTCTAACTTTGGAGATGACTAGAGAACTAACATGGTTCTCAACCTTCAACAGATTGACTAGGGAGGCAAAAACTCTCCGACCACTACGTCTCTGTGCTGGCCTCCGAGTAGGATTGCCTGCACTGGGAGAAAGGGCATTTTTATGTTCAGAAAGGAGCCTCTGGTCAAACAATTTACTTTGAACCATCTGGGTGTCCCCATTGGGCTGTCAGCTGCCTCCAATGCTGAGAAAACAAAGTGTCACATCACTCTGCAGAGCTATAAAAAGATTTTTGTTTGCAGGCTGTTTGCGGGAGGAAAGTGCTGGCCCCGGCTGGCAGCTCCCACAGCACTCTTAGCTGGGCCTTGCCCTGGGGTTATGTTCTTCAGAGCAGACCAAGGTTTGCGTAAGATCCTAGAGGACTGATTTGGAAAGGGGTTGTGGGGAGGGGGGGAACAGAGTTAGGCTGTAGGTTGATGTGCCCATGCCCAGGTGGCCATAGCTGGAGAGGGTCAGAGCCAGGCAAGGGTGTGGCAGAAGGCAGGATGTTGTAGCATTTATCCTCGGGCTGCTGGACTGCTGTGGCCTATGATTCATCAGCAGCAGATGAAGTTGCCTACAGACTCAGATAAAATAAAATAGGGGTTTAAGGCATTTGGTCAGGAACATTTCTCTGCTGGTGCAGTTCATGTGCTCCCAGCACCCCCCATGAAGGCTGCTTGGGCCGCCATCTGGGGTGGTTTCCCATTTGATCAGTGAATAGCACTTTGTACTAGAGTCTGGACCACCATGGGTATGGCCTTGGAGTCAACTGTGTCTGCATTTGGGCTCCTGCTAGCTGTGACTCCTTGAGTAAGGGTATTCCTTGACCTCTCTGAGCCCCTCTTTTTCCTCATTTATAAAATGGGCCTAAAATGGCACTTACCCCACAATGTCATTGAAGTGACTAAATGGGATAACACATGAATAGTGACTGACACAGATTAGAACTTAATGAGCAATAGCTGGTATTACATCATGGTCAGAGACTACTGTTGAGGCAACATCTTGATCTTGGGGTTTACTCACATATCTTTACAGAAAAGACCTTCCCACACCTAACCAGTAAAGGATCTGATTATTCTTAGCACTAAAGAATTTGAAGATAGAATTAAAAGAACTGAATATTTATCTTAAGAAAATGCAGTATACGATTTTCTTCACTCCAGGAACCAGTTTGTTCAAGTGTTAGGGGTAAGCATTTGATGTCTTTATAGCTACAGAATAAGACTAATGGCAAGGTTATATAGAAGATGGGGAACCATTCCACATTGCTGGTGGAAATGTAAAATGCTACAACCATTTTGTTAAGCATGCACTTCACCTTATGAATGAAGAGTTCTACTCCTAATACATACCCAAGAGAAGTTGGTACATGTGTCCCCAGAAAGTCTTTTACAGGAATGTTCATCACAGCTTTACTCGTAAGAGCCCCAAACTGGAAACAACGCAACTGTCCATCAACAAGAGAATGGGTAAATAAATTACAGCATATCCATTCAATGTGGGGCCACTTAGTTTGTCACATAGGGGATGAATCTCAGAAACATTCTGTTGAAGGGGAGAAGCTAGGCATGGAAGAGAACGTACTGTGTGCTTCCACTTACATGAATTTCAAGATGAGGCAAAACTAATCTTCACTGATAGAAGAATTCTGGGGTTGAATGGGAAGAGGCAGAAGGAAACTTTAAGGAGATGGAAACGTTCTGTATCTCAGTGTAGGTGGTGGTTGTAATCAAACTATATGATTTGTACCTTGATTGCACATTAATTATACCTCAATTTAAATATATAGATTAAGGAGCCTAGAAATCACATCTTTCCATTATTCCTATGTATACCCAATAATAACAACACCTAATAAAAATAAAAAATATTATGCCTAATAATAGTTATAAATATAATAGTAATGATACTGGTAATAACAGCTACTAATGCGTATTGAGGGCTTACCCAGTGCCAGGTATTTTCCAAGCACTTTTTATCTATTAACTCACTTAATCTCTTCATTCCATTATGGGGTAGTTTTTTTTTTTATTTCCCCCCCTTTTACAGATGAAAAAATCAGGGCACAGAGAGGTTAGGTTCACTTACCCAAGGTTACACAGCTGGTAGTCTGGTTCCAGATTCTGTGCTCTTAACGTGCTCTTAACTACTATATGTCACCGCCCAGGTCCATTAGCTCCTTCTCACCAACTCTCTTTCCTTCCTGCTCAGAGATGTGCTGAATTTCCTGCGCTCAGGGGACCTGCCGCCCCGGGAGCGTGTACGGGCTGTGTATAAAGAGGCCCAGTACTATGCCATCGGGCCCCTCCTGGAGCAGCTAGAGAACATGCAGCCTCTGAAGGGGGAGAAAGTGCGCCAGGCATTTCTGGGACTCATGCCCTATTACAAAGGTGAGGGGTCAACTGCCCGGTGTGGTCGAGGTGTGGGAAAAGAGGGTTGCAAGGCATCTATCTGGGCCTAGGTCTTCACCAGAAGAAGTGGGTCCAAGATTCATCTACATTACTCAAGATTGGAGAGATTCCTGCTTCCCTTTCTGCCCTCCCCTCCCAGTCACACTGGGAAGATTCAGGTTAAATAAGACCCACCTTGCCTGTGACATCATCAAATCACCTTTCAAAAGGATTTTCCTCATTCCATGTTTTTGGTTTCCTTTTGCCATGGCGATCCATGATCCCTGTTTAAGTTTGTGCCCTTCATAAGCCCACAGAGTCCCTTCCGCAGGATCTCTCTCCCCTGTTGGATCCTGCCTTCACTGGAGCTCTCTCTTTGTGTCCTGACACTGCCTTGCCCACCCCCCACCCCAGCCTCCTGACCCCCGTCCCAGTGATGGGTGCTGTGTTCACCCCACAGACCATTTGGAGCGGATTGTGGAGATTGCCCGGCTGCGTGCGGTACAGCGGAAGGCCCGCTTTGCCAAGCTCAAGGTCTGTGTCTTCAAGGAGGAGATGCCCATCACCCCCTACGAGTGTCCTCTTCTCAACTCCCTGCGCTTCGAGCGGAGCGAGAGTGATGGGCAGCTCTTTGAGCACCATTGCGAAGTGGATGTGTCTTTTGGGCCCTGGGAGGCTGTGGCTGATGTTTATGACCTACTGCACTGCCTGGTCACGGACCTCTCAGCCCAGGGCCTCATCGTGGACCACCAGTGCATCGGGGTGTGTGACAAGCACCTCATCAACCACTACTACTGCAAGCGCCCCATCTATGAGTTCAAGATCACATGGTGGTGAGTAGCCCTGCTAGGGAACAGTCCCGTCAGGGAGGGCATCCATTCCCTTTAGTGGCTCTGGGGTAAGATCCCTGGAAGGGATACTAACTGCCCCAGACCTGCTGAGGTGAGGACCAAGTCCTGAGGCACAGCTCCAAGGGGATGGAGGTCTCCTGGCAGCTCCAGTCTCTCGGCTGTACCTCGGGGTCAGGCTCAGGGCTTGTGGCCCACAGGGACTTGGTACCTGCACTCACCTGACCTTTCCTCAAGGCACAGCAGTCTTTGCCTGAGGCTGATGGGGTCTGGCTAGCTAGGGCTTGACCAGGAAGTTCAGAGAGGTTTCATCACTCTCTTGATCTTGCAAGAGAGTTTCTGCCCTTTTTAGTGCCACGTTACCAAACTAATATAGGCGTAAGCACTTCCTCAGCCCTGTTCGAGTGTCCCTTCCTTGTGCCTAGCATATAGGTATGAACACAGAATATGATGGGGGATTTGCCCAAGGACCTACCCCACAGCCCCTGACTGAAGAAGCAGCATCTGCTCTCCCTCTTCCCCCAGGGATAGTTCCACGCTTTGTTTTGGGATGTGGAAAGACTCTGCCTCCTGAAACATATCCTTCACCACCTTTTGGAGATGCAACCATAGTTGCCAAAGCCATGCACCAGGTTGGCCTTAGAAAAGCACAATGTTTACAGCCCTGCCTTAGGGCCTTGGCTTCTCCTACCTTCCACCAACCTTCCTTGCTTGAAGGGTTATCTTCTCAGGGCTGTAATGCAGATTTCAGAGGTTCCTTTTGAAGATTCCCTGAGTCAAGCAGGCAAGTTGCATAGATCTTCTGTTGTCTATGAGATGTAACATCCTTTCTGGAGGCTCAGAATCTCTTTGGCTGCCATTTCATGTGTTAGCATCCAATCTGTGGTGAACCTCTGTAGATAGGAACCCCACTCTTTTTTAAACCCTGCTGCTTTATCCTGCTCACGTTCTCCTAGGAGAGTGTCTGTTCTGAGGAAGCAAAGAAAGGGTTGGGTGGGAGGCACAGCTCTACCAGGAGCTGTAGGATGATCGCAGCAAACCTCCATCACGTTCTGCTCCCCACATCTCAGAGAGAGAAAAGGATCCACAAGGTTCTGCTCCCACTGCATTTTCTTCTTGCTCCATCTGCAGACTAGGGCAGTTAAGCAGGCTATGGACATGCATCTCCGAAAGGAAGAGCTATGCAGCACCAGCAATTGGAACATAATATTTCTGTGCTGCATTAAGGGCTTCTCCCTGTAATCACGACTCTGCTTGACTGTGCTGGGTGTTTGGTAGGGAGATATTTTTTTTTTTTTTTTTTTTTATGTAAAACACTGGTGAGGACAGCCTCACTGGTCTCAGTCCTACAAGACCAGATTGGTGAGGTAGGGCGAGGGGGAACGGAAGATGTCTGCATCCTTCTGAGAAAGAGAAGGCCAAGTCCTGGGACCTTGCCAAACTCCTTCATGGGGCAGTGACCTCCTGGCCCCCTGTGGAACAGGGGTTCTGGGGCGTGGCTTTGCACTCATGTTGTGTGGTGGAACAGAGGTACAGACTGAGATCTGAGAGGAACGTGCAGTCAGTTGTTCAGGTTCAGAGATAAGTGTTCTCTCTATTGTCCTCATCCACAAATGAATCATCACTATTCTGGAGTTGATGTCCCTGCTTGAAGCTTATTCCCAACAACATGGCTCTTGTCTTATTCTAACAGAAGTCTTTCGCTTAAGTTGGTCCGATAGGTGTTACTGCCTAATGCAAATTCATTTTTGGACAGACACTGAAACAAGCTATTCAGGAGAAAGGCGGTGTGAGTAGAAAGGAGACAGTTACTCCCAGTGCTTTCAGTTATCTGGCCTAGGCTCCTTCTCGTTCCCACCCCTGGCACAGAGCATCACAGTACCTTGGTTATTTAGAGTCCATACATGTAAGATAGAGTGATTGGTAGGCTCAAATGCAAGGTTGCTCAAAAATAGACCCTGAAGACTAGCTTGGGGCTTCAGGGATGCTAGATAAGGACACTGTCCCCAGGCCCCTTGCTAGAGACACTCCTCTGGACCCCTCTGGCCCTGTGTTGTCCTCACAGTAGTGTACTTTATGCCACTGTGGGAGAGACAAGGCTCTGGGCCAGTAGACCAGGCAGAGCAGGGATACTGGCAGCCAGCTTATAGCTCTTTTGAAATGAAGTAAAAGAATTCAGTGGCCCAATTTGGCCATTCTCTGATGAGAAGCCAAGGCCAAGATGAAGAGTGCTTTTGGATGCGGTGGTTTGAGGTAATGGCCTCCAAATAAAGGTCATATCTGAGGAAGTGACTTCTCCCAGTTGGATCCCTTCTCAACTCTAAATGATCAGGTCTAGAGCATAAGAAGGGGCGGGTTAGGAAGGAGGGCTCCAAAGGATGAATGCTTCTACCCAATCGAAAGGGAGTATATTTTCATAGAATTCTTGTGCATAACGTTGATGGGTCAAACCAAGTGCCTGCCTTTGGAGCTTCCATTATGTTTGACTTTGGGCACCTTTTCTCCCAGGTGTCATGCTCACTGGTTGGGAAGGTGAAAGGTTTAGGAGATAGGATTGTATGGTGCAATAGCAGCCATAACAAAATTCAACAAAAATGAAAAACTTAATGGCAACAAAAAAGATTGAAACAAAACCACAACGAAACACATCACAGCATCCCAGATGGAGGAGTTCTTTGGGTAAACGCTCTAAATAGAAGAAATAGAGGAACCGTCACCATCCTTATTCTACCTTTGGTTAACTCAAGAGGCTGTCCAGTGCTTATCATGTGGAAAGCAGTCAACTGTGCTCTGAAAGCTTCTGTTCTTTCTTCCTGGGGCTTAGGATATTCTGGTTGCTGTCTGAGCCTTGTGCCTCAGGCTGTTCAGGTGACATAATCTTCCTGTTCTGGGTTCCTTGTTGGAGGACTAGAAGAATGACATTTGCAAGCCACAAGGTGGGGTGAGCCTCAGTGTGCAATCTTGGTCTAAGCTGGATCCTGAAGAGGTTAAGACAAATAACAACAACAAAACAAAAACTACTTACACTGAGCATTTTGATCCCAGTTAGAATTTTAAATATCCTTCCGCATACCTTCTGTCCATATTTGATTCTAAGTGATTAAGCTTTCTTAGGTACCTTTTTGCTGGGGCTCTTTCATGTGAAGGTAGTACCTGCCTTGTGACCCTTAAATAAGAGGGAGGCTTTAAACATCAGAAGCCGGAGTGTGGGGAACTGGAGTGGAAGAGGCACTTTTTGGAATTCTGGAAGAAACATATATGTATACAAATGTTAATTGGGAGAAGGGTGGGTTGGCAGGGGTTGAGGAGGTGGGAACAAAGACTGGGTATAGGAACAGGTTGCCTCTGGAGTATGGGAGGTCACCTGGGTCCACTGTCTTCCTTCTGTATGGTGTTGGGTTTGTGTACATGGCATAACACTTCCTATGTTTGTTCACTACTTGTCTGTAAGCGCTTTGGTGCATGGAGCCCCAGTACCCTCACATGGCATTAAAGTAAAGAATTAGAATCTGGGTGCTGTGCCTTTCTTTTTTAGAGACTTACTCTCATCCCTCCTCTGCCCCCACTGTGCCAGCAAACAATGTCTTGATTTCTCCTTAAAATGTGATGTGTTTTGGGATGCTCAACTAAATAAAATAGGCTCTTTCCTGAGACCAGCAGCTGAACTTCTGCCCTGGCTTGAAGGAAAAGGGAGATGGGCCCCATGAAGGCCCTTCTGCAGTTACTCTAGCCTTGTCTCTGTTCCAGGTAGGAGTGTGCCCACCCAGTCTAGACACACAGCTCTGCCCTCTTGTGTTGAGAGGTCTCTAGGGGAAGAAGATAGTGCAACTGCCCAGTCACTGTGTGGTTCACGACCATGTCAGGTGATTCTGAGAGAAATCCCTCCTGTCATTCACCACTTCTTTCGAGGGTGAGATAAATGGCTCTAAGCTTATGTGAGCCTCTGTGGCTAAGACCCTTCGTTGAGGAAAATGGACTTGAGTTGCCCTTCCTCTGGAAATAGAGTTTGACACCTCCCTGGCTAATGAGGGTCCTCATCAAGATGTCCCTTGGAGTCACTTCATGGATTAACCCAGAAGGGTGAGTCCTGACATGCTGGGTAGCTATGCCACCCTCCAACTGCTTCCTTAAATCTCTCATTATTCTGACTTTTAAACAAAAGCACTGCATCACCTGTGCCAAGTGTATTCCCTGACCTGCTTACTGTGTACACAATCACATAGTAATGATACATTAATAATACTTCACAAATTTGAAACTGAAACTCATGGAGGTGTAATTTACTCAAGGGCACATAGCTAATAGGTAGCAAAGTCAGGGTTCAAACCCAGGACCCTTTTCTGAAGTCCTCACAGATGTTCTATAGAGCCCTCCCTTCCGCCTGGCAGCACAGAGGGCTTCAACCTGTGAAAATTTGAAAGGCAGATGCTCTAGAAGGAAGACTTTCTTTGATGTGTAGGTCTTAAGTAGTCCGTGAACATTAAGGAGCTAGCTGGGGTCCCCAGTGTACCACCCTCCTTAGTGAGGGACACATGTTCACTAGGTGGAGAAGGGTCCCACTCATGGGCAGTGATGGAGGTGAGTAATGGCTCCCTGGCTGGACCCTAGGTGTGGCGAGATGATCTGGGACGGCCTGAGTTCATCAGACTCTTGCAGCCTACAGGCCTAACCACACAGATGTGCTATGCAGCCTGACCGTGTGGAGAAGGATGCCCGAGGCCTCGGCCCTCCTTCAGGGACCCCTGGCCTCAAGAGAATAACTGAATGTAAGGCTTTTTAGTTTAGCTTAGGGGGTCTTGTGCGCCTGGCTTGGGGCTTATGGCCCTTAGACTCTGGGCCTCAACCCTGCCCGTTTGTTCCTTTGTCATCATTTTGGAGATGACCTCTTAGTTAGCTTCACTTACGTCATTTTGATTTGTTTAACTTAGAACATGTTCCTTTAGCTTTTGTTTACTTCACCTTTAACTTTCTGTCTTTTGATTCCTTACCATTTTGTTTTTCCTGTCATGTGTTTTAGAGTTCTGTATTTTTTAAACGTAATTTTAAACTTTATTTCTAATGTAACTTTAAAATAAAGCACCTATATGAATAGGATGCTAATGAAGATAGTTCTTGTTCTGAGCAAGGGAAATTATGTGCTTTTTTTTTTTCCATTCATTTCTACAATGATCTTACTAGCTGTGAACATTAGGTGTCTCATTTTTCTCTTAGATGAATATCTTCTTCTAAAGTCTAAATACAAGGAGAAACTGACAGTGTTATTACAAAAGTCATAGATCCGGGTTATCTACTAGATCCAATGGCCAAGCTTTTACCTCCCCCTCCAGAATGCCTGCCTCCCCCCATATACACACAAGAACAGTAAGTTCAGACTTAGGAAGAGGGCAGTCCCATTCCTGACGGCTAAGGGCTTCTTCCTTCACACACTTGTTCTTCCTGAGCAATGACATGATCTAAATATCCTGGGATTCCACCACCTCCAACCACCTGGAACTAAGTGGAAACAGAACTATTGTGCACCAGGAAAAAAAAATCCAACTCAACTGCAGGAAAGACTGAATTGAACCATCTTGAACCATCCGGAAGTACTTCATAAAAGGGACCCATAATCAGATTGTGATGCACCTTTTCCACCCTTCTGTGATCCCAGTGGCAACCTGAATCACCCTTCCACAAACCATGACTTTAGAAGACCCTGGATTTTTTCCTATATCATGTGATCTTGGCAGATGGCCTAGCTCCAGTAGATCTTTGGAACAGATGTATACATACTTCTCCTTTATTACAAAAAAATTAAGAAATAGAACCCCAAAGCACCACACAGCTTAGAGCTTGATCTCCATTAAAAGAAATTTATAAGTTAAGAGTCGAGTTGAAATCTTTATACCTTTGTTATTTTTGTAAAGGGATTGTGATGGTATCATGAGTAGGTTTAAGTCCCTAGAATGTGTATCGACTTCTATAAATGCCTTTATTAGTGTGTTTATTAGTGTGCTTTCCAACATTACATCCTTACCTTCAGCTCTCCCTCAGCTTACACTGTCCCAGGGACCCATCTGTGTATGCACACGTCGTGGGTGCCTACTGTCCCTATTCTCACTGGGTCATCTCCACCGCTCCCCCGCCCCCGCCACTCATGAGTGCCCTGTCTTTGGCATTTTAAAGCTGGTTGGCCACTTCTGGCCATACCTCATCCAGTATTTGGTTGCCAGCCCTGGCAGTGATGCTTTATCCAGCACTGCCCCCAACTTATTCTCAGGCAGTTAGGTGCTCTTTGCACTGAGGTCCTGGACTTGGATTCAGCTCTCTCAACTGGCCTACTAGGATTTGAAGAGCATTTTCAGCCTTTCTCTCTAAGCTCCATGTCTACTTCCACAAGGGCAGCAGAGGATACTTGCAAGACCCCACTGAACAGATAAATTAGCTTCACCCTCCTCTACCCTTGGAAGGGATAATCAACATAGTTTTTCCAGAAACTACATTCACCAAGAGCTTCCTAATGAAAATAGGGACTTCCCTGGTCAGCTGACCACATCACTATTGGCCGAAATGAGGATGGCATTATTCACTTGGCACTCCCGGAAAGTCAAGGCAGAATGTATCTGCCTCCAGACATATTCAGGGAATGTTCTACCCAATTGCCTAATTTTATACTTCCAAATACAGCTCTATTTGGAAATTCCCATTGGTTCAGAGAGGCAGAACACTGAGGAATACCCTCTGTAGTCACCTGCAGGAATATTCTACCACTTACATTGCCTGGGCCTTTAGCCCAGAGGATTCTACAGACATAGGGCTTATTGCCTGATTTTGAACCCCATCAGTGCTGTTCGCTGCTGGGATGGCAATCCTGACTCCTATATGGCAGCAGCACCCCTGGGACAACCTGGAATTGTGGATTGAGATCCAGAGGTAGGATTTCCAGATAGTCCAACCAAGGTATCTCATGATAATGTAGTAGAAAGTGATGTTTCTTAGGTGGAAGGCTTTCCAGATACTCAACTACCCCACAATTTTGGGGATTTATAGGCAGTGGCCATTCATTCATGCTCCTCAACTTCCTCACATGATCATCCTGTCTTTTTAGGAAGGGGTTTCACCTGATCCCTTACTAAGGGCCCAGAATTCCAACAGCTGAAAACCCTGTACATCCTTTCTCGTATCCTGGCCTTACACAACCAAGACACACTTCAGTGCCTCAGAAGGGGAAACAAGGAGGCACAAGCATGGGCAGCCTCTGTCCCTTGTTTTTACACGTCTATGATGCTGGTATTGGCAGGCCGACAACCCCTGTAGGTGTGAGAGTTGCAACATAACCAACAGATTCAAGGTCTAGAGGCAGCATTCGAAAGAACCCCTGCAGGGATGTCTGTCTACAGGAGCCTGGAGTACTCAAGGTGAAACTGGGAGCTTGCTCCACATAGTGAAGGCAGGCCATGTTTTTCCAACATTTTGGCTTCAGAAGATACTCCGAACATACACAAAACCGCGAGAAAAAGGCCAGCAAAGGAATTCCAGCTCTGGTTGTAGCTAACTGAGAAGCCATTGCAAGCTGCAGGTAGGTACCCACATGTAGCAGAGGCCAGCCAAAATCCAGAGCCTGCCAAAGTGGACACAAAAAGGAACTGTATCTTCTGATAACGGCTAACTGGGGTGACGAGAGGAAATCGAACTCTGGTGCTTCTGCTCCACCCTATTGCTATCCCACGTGCCTTTACATCTCACCCATTCAAAATGGAAAATAACATAGAAACTTGGGACCTTCTAGTCAACACATAAGTCTGTACTGCCTCCTTCTAAAGTGATCTTGCCTGAATTGCACTGAGTCATTTGTATTAGTCAAGAGGAGAAAAAAACACGCAGTAATCTGAACAATTTATATCTTTAATACAAATTAATTATAACTGGATTGGAATA